ATATTTTGCGTAAACTGTCTTTTTTATTTTTGTTTCAAAGTATGAAATTAGCACAAGTCATGTAAAATAATATTCTCTGAAAATAAAGTATAGCCATTCTTATAATGTTCAAAGTTTCTGGTCTGTGAGGCATTATCACTTTTAACTCGATATTCAAATACCTTTAGTAAATACGATTATCTAGTGTTGGAAACTAAAGTAAGGTGTTTCCCATTAATAAATTGAAGTATATGCTTGATTAATCACAAATTATTCCTGCATATTAGATGCAGTAAGGTTATTCTATTATTTTAAGAATAATATGGCATATGACATTGAATAACGGATTCGTACCCTTCAATCCTATAATATGCCGCTTTGATGCCTATCCATTTAATAAAGTATTTGTGTGTAATGCTTGACTTTATAACCTAAAAACTGAGTCAATAATATGGTATCAACTTTCATTAAAATATAATAAATAATATAATATATCATACTTTCGTTTAAAAATATCATATTCTCATTATAGACCTATAAGTAAAATTTTAAAATAGAAAAGTTTACATGCTAAGTGGCTCATTTGTGAAAAGTCTTACAGCTATAATAAACTAAAATCAAATTATAATCGTTGATATTAAATTCATTCACAAAATAATAAAATTATATGCAAATATATTTTTGCTACGTTTGTCTCATTTAATTTTTATTTATATTAAATTTCATATTTTTATTTAGATCGAATAAGATCTGATTAAACTCTAATCCTGATTCCCTTTTTAGCTCTAGTTGTTCCAAAGGATACCGATTATGTACGAAGTGCAATTGATCTTTGGCTACGTTCAATGAAACAATTCGTTCTACATCAAATTGGTCTGATGAATTTACCTCCCGGTTGGGAGAATGATCCAGAGCTTTCAGCACGTCTCTATGCCGCTACGGAGAGGCTAAGACCAGTTAATCTTTGCCAAAACATTTCGACGAATAATTGGCCATATGGACGCTATTTGTATAAGTAAATATAAAGGCGTCATTAAGAGATAAAGATAAGAGTACTTCATTTTTAAATTGCGCAACCAATCAACAATATCTCATCTTGTATACCATAAAATAATATAGCATGCAATTAAATTGTATACAATCAGACAAAGTTCTAAAATCCTAATTTCATGTACTTTAGGTTGATTTTAACTGATAAAGATCACAAATATTTATTTTAGCTATATGAGGTCGGAAACATTTATATGGAAAGGCGAACCAGCGAGATTTTTACCAAATGGTGCTCTTAATGTATCTGCGTTGTATATATTTAATAGCGTGGTCAATGACAATCATGAAATGACATGGAAAAAGGTAAGTATTTAATCATTCTCTTGTGTCAATCTCACTTTAAATATCCTATAATTTAGGCTTTTATTAGTTAGTCTGATTTGACAGTTATAAATGATTCACTTAAATGTTTGTTTTTGAAAAAATACGTCTAAAATATTTAATGAGGTCTTCAAAATGAAAAATGAATAGGTCATATCGTTTGGAATAATGAAAATAGAAAAATCTAATTGAGAATATAATGTAAGTTGACAGTTATTCGTATAGATAAGCAATAAAATATTTTCTATAATTAAGACTATTTAAAATATATATAAGCAAATTTTATTATTTTTGCAAGATATATTATATCCAATGATATTAGGCTAAATTATCTTGAAGTATGCACTAATTCCAATCTAAATATGTAGTTAGAAAGATGTAAGTAATTTACTAGCAAATAATATATGGTTAACGGTATAGTTTGTAGGTTTTTCATATATCTTTACTAAAATCCTCTAGTCTCCCATCAATTTAACGTGCATAAGGTATTACGGCTGTTTTAGGTTGGTGAGTGGTCTATGTCCAGCAGCTGGGGCAGACGCTTATCAGGAGTCCAAGCCAGACATATGATTTGGCCTGGTGGTGCAAATGTGCCTCCCAAAGGAAAACCAGATCGTATACGATTACGGGTGGCCACTATTAAAGAAATACCTTTTGTTATTTTTAGCCGAACGCAGGTAAGTATTTAAAGGAATTCAATATTTCATACTATCTGTTACTATACACTTCCTTAGATAAGAGAAATAAATGAGTCGTGAGAATTTATATTTATTTATGTGAGCATTGTAAAATTTGCAGAGGAACAATCAGCTTATTAAAATCAGATATTATTTTTTAGCTAAATATTTTCTATTCGCTAATAATATAATTTTAAAATATATTAATTACTTTATCTAATATAGTGGCACTGTTTATAGTACAAAATACTATTCTTCATGCAGCAAGTTTCAAGTGCATACATCCTCTTGAATTTATTTATCCCCAACTGCATTGATCTTCCATATTTTGAAGTATAGTTAATGGATACTGGTTTTATTAATTAAAATTAAAATAAATAATAAACTGACCGACGATAATAAAAAAATATGTAAGTGATTTCACTGTGATAATAAACTAACTTCATCAATATTATATAAATTATAATCTGAATGTAAAACACACTTGGCTCCAAATATTGCCGCATCTTGCCTTGTCTTGTAAACTCTTCTTACTTGCTAAATTTAATTTATGCTTTGGGATGAATTATTAAGTTTTTTCTATAAATTTATTTGTAGCATTAAAGTTGACTCAAAATTCAGAAATTATCAATAATTATCACTGTAATTGATAATACCAAATAATGATCACATTAATTCTATTTTAAGTTTGACAATTTGGATTAGTCCCAAATCATAGAAATAAGCTAAATTGTAAAATCGTTTGATGTTTATAAAAATGGCAGTTCCAGATACATCAAAGTACCGCTGTTTCAAACTCTTATATTTATCATTAATACGTCAAATCTTATTCGAAACATAAACTTCATTGTCAAGTGGCGAAATCACTAGTCTGTGCTGCACCTATTACTGTAAAATTCATAGTAGGATGAGGCCCTACCATATAAAAACCTTAAGTTCTTTCAGATCGTATTGGACTGATATTAGAATTTCTGACAAGAAATGTGAATATAAGTTTGATATTTTATAAAATTATACATACTATGAGTAAATTTAGCCAAACTTAGACATAATGAACAAGGATATTTTAAGTTAAACTATTTATTTTACTGTGGTGCAGCTTAAATTACATTTATACACTGTGATTGCTGGTCTGCGCAACCCCAATTTACTCAGTTATAATATTCCTTATCCTTCACTTGCATACCTGAATTGCTCTAGCATATAAATATAAATTGTTACCAGAAATTTAGTCGGTATAAAAGTCAAACTAGTTTGTAAAAAAATTATAAATGACACCAAATCGATGTCTTTACTCATGAATTTGACAAGCCACGATATTTCGCTAAGCCCTCAACTCCTCAAAAACACAAGAGAATAGATATTTTAAAGTTTTTCTATAAAACGTGTTAATTATGCGTGACAAAATCTTTCCAACTCTAATGCTAGAGTTTATTTTACCTCTTTTTCAAAATTTGGTAATATTTTAATTTAAATCTAGAGGAAGATATCTTGTCAAGGTTATTTTTCATAGAAATTGTGAAAATTTATATTGCTCAGATGTTTCAGAAGTACAATATTCGGAATTTTTATCGAAACTTTTCCCTACTAATGTCATACTAAAGCACTTTAAAAAGAAATGTTAATACTAACTCCTGCCCTTTATGCTCAAAACTTAGTCCAATCCATAACAATTTACTTACCTTTATGTTTAAAGTTAATATGTCTATAATCGGTTAAAATGACTAGCGGCATCAGTAGTAACTTTTACTTCTCACAACAAATAAAACAAGTAAAGCGTAATTATGTCAAAACTAATTCTATCAACTGTCAATCAAAGTTTTAATTCAAATTACCCTTAAGATTAAATAAGGTGTATTTTTGCACAACTTGACAGATATTAAGATTAAGCGGCTGTATTTAATTCGATGATAAGCTTAGTGATTCGATTATAGTTAAATTT